AAACATGCATGGTCTTTACCTGCAAAGAGGTGTCAGAAAGGTTAAGCATGAATGTCCTCGGATGATCTAAGGTGCTTATGATGGAGTGGATGAGCTGCCCGTTGACGCATGTAGCTTCATCTCTCATTGCTGGCTAATTCTTATCAAGCACAACCATAACCCTGTGGCACAAAGAGCCAAAGTGGTTAAAGTCACCTTGGCATTTGAAATGCTCCTGTACCCAATCATACTCCTTTTTTTACAGGAATTCAATGAAAGGTGGAAGCAAAGGCCTTGTAACATCAACACCCCGCCAAATCCTCAAATGTCAAGCCGTTACAAGTGTTCAAAAAAAAAAAGAAAAGAAGACCAAAGTCCAATGGGAAACAAAATGTTCAGTCAAAAGATGGTTTCCTATAGAATCGATACTTTTGTTGGAAATGTGTCACTGAGCCGCACAATGTGCAAACTTTAGCCCACCTGCAATTTTTGTACGAGTTGAAGTGGCAAGAGCAGACGTTTTGCATTTTGGCGAGCCTATTATACTCCAAATCTATGCAATGTCCTGTTCAGATGGACCTTGACGAGTTTTAAATGTTGCATGAATGTCTACTTGTTGTCTATACGACTTCAAGTGTAACTCGCCAACAGGGCAATACCTTTTTGTTCAAAATGACACATTACGACCACCTGAAATGGAAATGTGGTCAGTGAGTGCAGTACATAAAACTAATACTTTTCTGTATTATGACTCAACTCACACTGTGCTGTATATTTCCAACGAAACCAAGCTATATTTTCTTTAAGTGACGCATCTGAATGGTTCTTCATGCTGTACTCCAATCAGATTTAATTACATTCAATGTTGCTCCCAAAGCCACCAAGCTATAGGCAGCCTATCAGCCAACCATATCGTCGGGGGGGAACAAGCCATCTAAGAAAGTTAGTCCACCCGCAAGCCATCTATCTACGCACTCGCGCACCGGTGTAGCAGGAAGCCAGGTCAGCCCAGTCAGCCGGGCTACCCTGGGGGTCCTGGGGTGGTATTAATCAGTCTGGTTTCTGCTGAAAAGCTCAATCTGCGGATGATGGATGAGCCATCATGCTGAGGGAACTGAAGTGACGGGTGACAAAGAAGGACACACACACCTGAATAAATCCACTCCCCATCCTGTCTAACCCCAATGCTACACCGTCAAGGTAGCAGGTTGAAAGCACGTGTGTGTGTGTGTGTGTGTGTGTGTGTGTGTGTGTGTGTGTGTGTGTGTGTGCGCGCGCGCGCGCGCGCGGAAGGATAAGTGTCTCAGCATGTGTCCTGCTCTGCTAATGAAGTCATCTGAACAGTGATTTAACGGCCCCGGTGTAAAAGCCTCCCGCCCTTAACTCATAGCCTTGCTCTATTAGAATGTGATATAAACCCTGGGCACAATAACTGTCCTGCCACTGTAACAATATATAGGAGGCCACCGGCCAATGGTCCACACTGCTAACTTAGACGGTCTGGGGAGCAAATTATTAGCTCTGTGTAAGAAAGGGAAGTCGTTCAAGGTGAATAAAACTTGTAAAATGCACAAGATCAGGCATCATGAGGGAGGCCTGTTGTCACAGGAGCTCAAATGCTATTTTTGGGGCAGACCAATGCTCGGGTGCTATAGGTTCCAATGGTGACCAATTTCAAGATGTGGCATAAAATATTGTTTTGGGTTCCAAGATGCTAGTTGACCTCTCATCTTCTTGATCCACGGGAAATGAATAAATAAATGCAGTCAATTCGTTCAAGGGACAAACTTTTGCCATCATACAGTCTTTTATAAACTGACCAAAATGGCCAAATGCGAATGACCTGGACATTTTTGAGAAAAATACAGTTGGCGATTCGCACTCGCACAGCAGCCAAATGACCCTTGTACAAATGCCAACTGACTGCAAAAGAAAAAATGTTATTCACCAAGGATTTTCAGCCTTTGAAGATTTGGGCAGAATTTCTAAAAGTAGGTTTCAGGAAGGAGGACACCTTTAACAAAAAGTGTCAGGCTTGTTAAAGATAAAGTTCTGTAAAATAGCCCTGTTCAAAAGTCCATGTCTGGTATGAAAACCCTTAGGACACAGGGTCACACTGGTTGGATTGTACAAAATAGCATTTGTTGTGACGCCCAAAGAAGAGAGTCAAGGGTACCTCTGTCTGCATTTGAATCGAGAATGCTATTTTTTTATCTGCAAGAACAAACAGTGAATCATCTGACACCAACGCCTCATCCCACGAATGGCCTTTCCTTTGGAGTCAGAGACTTTTTAGCAGCTTACATGTTGGCAGCAGTGACAACTAACTTCCATGCTCTTTGAGGGCATTCCAGCAATAAAAACACAAAACAAAACCCTAAAGCCATTCTCTAAATCCTCCATGAAATCTGCTCCTCTGGACAAAGACAGACTAATAAGGCAAATGACAGCATTCGCGGACACTTTTGATACAGTGAGAGTTTGCTGAGTTATATAACCTTTACCCCCTCCTACGCCTATGCCTCATCGTATCGGTTGGTGCCATTCTTTCCCACTCGCGTCAATCCACGATAAGTGAAAGCCGCTGTTGACAATTTGGTTCAGGTGAACAAATAGAGGAACTGTTTAGCATAGAGCAAAACAGACTACACGGCAAGGGAGAATGTCATTGTGTGCGTATGTGTGAGAAGGAAGGGAGAGAGGACCGAAGGAAGACAAAGCTCATCACAGCACAGCACCGAGCTGCACACTTCACCCTTATTAGACCCGTGTCCTTGGCAGATGCAGAGCTTGCCCTTTTGTTAGCAAGGTGCACGTGTGTGTGTGTGTGTGTGTGTGTGTGTGTGTGTGTGTGTGTGTGTGTGTGTGTGTGTGTGTGTGTATACGTGCGTTTTACAATGGCAGTGATTTAGAATGTTTCTAGAGAATGTCTTGACTGTCAATTCATTGACACATACCTTTCTGTGCAAAATCTATGGATTACTTGAGGCCAATAAATAACACACAATGCAATTCTCCATTGTGCACGAGTTTGATAGTGAATATTTCAAGTAGTGGATTTGCAGACAATGCAAACTGTAATTATGTGGCTTGAATGCAACATCTTGGATAACTGAGTGACCGTAAATGAATGTGAAATCCAGGAAACATGTTTGGATGGGTTCTGGGAAACCATTGATTGTCTGCCATTTGGACATACAATACAAAGGCTAAATAACATTTTATTGTATCCATTCTTCCATTAGTTGCGTCTTACAAGCTGGCTTTTGAGAAGGGAGGAGCTAAGCCCCATCCCACCGTGTCTGCCAAGGAGTTCAGGGATTGCCACCACGACAGGCAGCGACCATCTCCGATTGGCCGCCTCAACAATGGAGGCGCAGAACATACACTCAATTTCCTCTGCCTTCATGGGGACCTGGATGTTGTTCAGCCAAAGGTGGGAGTTTCAACTGCCAGATATTCCCAGCAAACTCAGAATCCATTTGGGTCTGCCAAGTCAGACTGGCATCTTCTCCACCGATCGGAGCCAACGCACCACTAGCTGGTTGTATGAGTAATTGTATATAATTTATCACGCTCTGTTTTTAGATGTATAATCAACTTTCTTGTGTGACATTGCAAGGACTTCATTTACGTACATAGCATGTAATCAAAGTAGTTTATCATGTTGAAGAGACCCGCTTGTTCCTGCTCATAGCCTTGAAGATAAGATACCATCCCCAAGACGGCGCACCCATGACACATCCACAGCTGCTATCACAAACCAACCATCAGCATGACTCCTCCAATTACCTTGGAAGACATTGTGTCTTTCCCCACCCATGTAGAGGTTTGTTTATGGGGACACTCCCTAAAGACAATAAAAGTGAGGAGATGAGCGAAGTGTTTCCATAGCAGTTCGAAGATTGGAATGGATTACACTCATTCACTCTCCTTGTGCACAAGTTAAAACACAACTCTGCTTGACTCCGAGTCTCTCTTGTGTTTTAAAGTTTGTCATAAGGGTCTGATTGCCTGATAGACCTGACACTGGTGATCATTTCACAGCTGCGCCCCTCTCTTAACCCGAATGTCCAATACATGTGCCCGTAAAGCCGACCACACGACCACAAAGTTGATCATCGAACAGTAGCCGAGGGTGTCCTATGGGTGTACACCAGTGGCGGATGCTGGTCAGTCAAGGAGGGGAAGCTCAATTTCGGCCTACATCAGAAAATGTGTCAGTTTATTTATACGTGGATTCTCTCCGTTCCTTTTCAAGAAAATTATCTGTGACCCTGTCATACCAACACGGCGTCTTTTCCAGGGACTTAACTAGTGTCCTACAACAACAGCAACTACAATAAAACCCTCCAGAAATGAAAGATTAATTTGTCGCTAGTCCTTTTCAACAAAGAGAGTGTCGCTCAGATTCTTGGAAGAAGTCTCCAATTCAACTGAGAACAGAATGAGAATTGAAAAATGCTGTGTGTGTGTGTGTGTGTGTGTGTGTATACGTGCGTTTTACAATGGCAGTGATTTAGAATGGATTGAGCGTAGGCGTGGAGACAAGGTGCAGTAGCCCCATGGCTCCCTGATCGCTGGCAGCGTGACAGCTGGGAATGGAGCGCGGGGAACAGCCTGAAGTATTGCCATCTAATATGTGTCACATATACCTGCATAAATATTTATGCCCGTTTCAGAGCAAGAACAGGAGAGGACAACCCGGGTGAGGAAGATGGGACAGCATCAGTGGACTTTGTGTGAAGTCACTCACATGACGCCAAGAGCTAAGCTTTTTGAACATCCTCTCAACAAGTTTGCCTGGTTGTGATGACTTGAAGCAAAAGTGTTTTGAGTCACCCAAATAACTTTGTAAGATATACCCAACGTACTTGGAGTGCCACTCATTAGAAATATTAAATGTATGTCAAGTATGAAGCCAAGTGGAATATGAGCCATTAAACGCATAAACTACTCCAAGGACATTACTATCACTTTCAGTTTTGGTGTTCATGCAACATGCAGAATCAGCAATTTACCTGTTGGCCAGAAGAGTTTTGAAGGTGATTTGACACATGTCCTGATATGCTGGCAGCAGCCTTGTCCACTCCCACGCCCACTCGACCATTGCAACCTGTAGATGAATGAGTACAAAGCGCGCTTCGATATGAATTGGGTTCAATAGCATCATTGCATTAGTATACAACTGTGATCCACAAACAAAAAAGAAGGGAGGGGTCCAAGCGCCGGCCACCAACAACAGGCCATTTATCACATTTGCAGAAGTTTTTTTTTTTTTAATCATAATAAGACGGCAATTAATTTATGAATCCATTTGAGGGGATGTTGTCATTATTTGTAGAAAGATATATCAATTTGGGGGAGCGAGTCGTTAGTCTTCCCACTCTTCTGCTTTTGTTTCCCTCTCCCTTGTTACAAAAGCACCACAACGGCACCCATTTTTCTCCTCTACTCTTTTTTTTCTCAACACTGCATTAACACACTTGGCACCGGCACCAGATTGGGGAAGCAAATAAAAACCGGAGTGTTTTGATTGCCAAAATGTCACTCCTAACTGCAGGCTGAGCTTTATTGACAAAAGGAGGAGAGCTCGATCCATTCATCCATCCTCTCTCTGATCATTCGTCGTGGGAGATTGATGGATGTGACTTCGCCCCCTCCTGCCTCCAATCTACTTGACAAACTACACAGGCGTCGAAAGTGGAGAAGTCGTGTTAATCATTCTCTTAATAAGGTGTTTCTATGCAAAGCTATTCCGCCGCCTGTAATAGGCTGAAAACGGGACAATGTATTGCAAAATACAAACAGCTGGGCGAAAATCGGCAATTGGAATTGGCAAAAAAAAAAATCGGTGCGTGTGCACTGCCCGAGATCTTGAGTGTGTGTTTACCCAAGTTACGACATCAATGTGCAGTGGCCAAAAGACACACACACACACACACACACACACACACACACACACACACACACACACACACACACACACACACACACACAATTCCGGATGCATTGTTGCTAATAAATCAAGAGAATTAGATGCCCGCAATGTCAGGGGCTGTACACATTTTCCGGGAGACTCCAGTTGGCATCTTTGCTTTTAGCAGATGAAAAGGGAAGCTCGGGCAGGATGACTCCTTTGTGCATTTCCTCTGCCAATAAAAACGAGAGTAAATATTCAAGGCCTTGGATGAACACATGCTTGTGAATGCAACTGGACAACTGTGGCAACTGACAAATGTGGGCATATGAAGCCACAAATATTGAGTCAAACTGTTGCCACCTGTCCGGGAAACAGGCTCGGTGAATCTCAACGAAAACATTTTGTTCGCCAATAGCCTATTTGTTAGCATATTAATATAAAGCGGTGGTTGTTTTAAAGTGCTCTATGAATACAGTTGAGGTGAGTTGAAGGTTCTTTCTCTTTCATCACAAAATGACTTTGCACTGTACTGTTGTACGGTGAAAGTACTGTTTATAGCGATCTGTGTGTGTGCCCATTTTCTCAGAGCATCCAAGCACCATAAGTTGCAAAAGTAGTCAACTCTTTAACCGTGGTAACAAAAGAGCAATAAATTAACCTTTGTTTACCAACCTGATTCATCTTCTTTTTGCCAATTCGGTCAAACTGCTCAAGGGGGTTGAATTTGGTGGTGCGCAAACAATCACCCACATCAAAGCTCACCACGCAAGGTGTATCACGGAGCAAGTCCGTGTTCCCACTCAATTTGGACATCAGCAAATCCTGTGGACCAGACAAGTAAACATTTGAGATGACCAAAAACGTAAAAATGAATTCAACAAGAGGTCACCAAACAGAATCCGTGATGGCAATAGGATATCATTTGGTAGCTGCCATGTTGTACTAGAACACGAAATAAATGTGAAAGTCACACTGTGCGCATGGTTATGGCGTGTCGTGAATGTCCTGTTGTGAATTCCGCACTCTCATCCGTCACTTTGACATGACTTGTGAACCTCCTCTCCCTCCACCTCACCGCCAGCTCAGAGTGTCCCTGACCCGAGTGCTCTTGTCTCAGCCTTGGCTAAGGTGGAGCCGTTCCAGAAAAGCTATACAGCCTACCTCGGTAGCCCATTCACATTCTATCACATTTCCATGCCAAGTTATTGCTTTTTTACGGAATCCATCAAGAGCAGCCTAATGTACATGCCGCACGTGTTGTTGCTATTCCAAGCCGTATCCTTATAGACAATCTGTTGTAAAAGACACGGGAACTGTAACTATGCGCCTGACGGTCAGTGAAGGCCGCTTACTTCATATAACTGTCCAGGGACTAAATTGCTATTTGTCTTTGTCATAAGTCACAGTTATGAGTTAACCAATATAAAAAGTGGAGAATACTACAGCCCAAAGCACTCGAACATCACATATTTTAGAGTTGTAGAACTATACCTGTGGACAAACATAATGAATTGATATTAGAAAATAAGACTTTTCTACACCTAAATGGATCGGTGTGAAAGTCGGTGGGGTAGCGCAACAGCAACGATTGCCAGTTACCCGTAGCCTCTTCTGAGGACGAATACCAGACAAAATTGTGTATTTTGAGTTTTAAACTGATATTTCATTATTTAGTTTTATGTTCTGTTTTGCTTTGTATGGTTGCTTTTCTTTTATTTGGACGAGAAAGGCCAGTGATGTACAAGATAGTGATACCGTATAATTCTGGACCATCTAAGATGTTGGGCAAGAGCTGCATTAAAAATACTTAGTTTTTCACTGTTGATTGAAGGATAATTTTAAACTCAACTTATAACTTTATAACAGCTTAACTTTATTGCAGTCTTGTCCGGCACAAAGTTTTGGTGACTTTATTTTGCTATGGGAGGAAAAAAAAGAATTAAGACTGTAAAGTCTGTAAAGTCATTTTTCAGAAAATGACTATACCTACAAGCATAAACTGGTTGGTCTACTCTTTGTCACAAAACACCAGTATCAATAGTAAAATGATAAGAGTCAATGAAAATTCCCTCATTTCTAAAAAGATTGTGGGACACCCTTACATGTGGTGAGTGTATTCCATACGGAATCATTGCAGTCGCACACAGCCTTCAGGTCACCCGAAAAACAGACGATGCAGTGGCAGCAGCATCTTCCTTTTCTCCCATCTCCCTTTGGTCAACCCCCCCCCAACAACTTTTCCTCAGCCGGCGGCCTCGGGCCAGCGGCCACCTAACGTGCTGGTGAGAGGGAGTGCTTCCCTACCTCATTGCCTTGGATGATGTGATGGATGTGCCTCAGGTAGTCGCTGCCCCCTGCTTTGTGGCAGACCTCCAGCAGCATCAGGCCCATTTTCTGCTCGGTCAGTTCGGCTGCAGCCATTCCGCTTTCGCTGCCTCGCTCGTGGACGCTGGGAGAGGAAAGAGGGGTGGCATGGGAAAAGTGAGGAGTCCGCAAAAATACGAGTGGGACACTCTCTGCTTGTACTTTAAGTGAAACTTGAGGTAATAATGTGTGAGGACAATTCACTTACTGGCCAGGTGATTATTTTGTGACAAATAGGTTTTAATTCATACTCAGTGTCAAATATTTTGGGTCACCTATTTAGATGAGTAGTCAGTATACCTCATGAGATGGTCTGGGAACTGAGCGGTGGGAAACAAATGACTGAATTGAATGCGGATTGCCTTGCGCTGTTTTCACAACTTTTTGCAAAAGACGTGCCAGGAATTTTGAGCGAAGCATGTCGGCGCACTAAAAGTGATTTGTGCATGTCTTCAGCATGTCCTGCCTGTGTGTGCGCGTGTGTGTGTGTGTCTGTAATTGTGTGTCAAGGTCCTCACGCATGTACAGTCCTCCAGCCCTGACAAATGCCCCCATCATTTTCCGAGCCTTCTTATACAGATGGATGTCCCACTACCGTCCATCAAACCTTCTCCTTCGCATACACTTCCCGACATTGTTCTCTCCCTAACTCTCCGCACTTTGTAATTATAAGGAGGCAGGGATAGTGCAGCCTGTCAGCCGGTCATTGGCTACGCGACATTGAGGGTGGCATAGCAAGCGAGGGTCCGCCCCGTCCATGCACCTCCTCATCCCTTCGCCCGCCGTCCCCAGCGGTCGTGTTGTCTGGGACGGTGGCTGTGCATCCGTGTCAGCACCTGCGCTGTGTATCCTTTCCTGTCCATCACTGTGCAGGTGAAGCAGATGATTGGATTCAGTCAGCGGGGTGATTAATGAGGGCCCCTCCGGATTTGGGACAGCCTATCAATCATGTCATTAGGGCCAATGTGCCCTGAAAGAGGCAGACCTCCGCCAAGGAATAACTACATTCATCTTCATCTGTGTATGCATCCCGTCAGCCCAGCCAGGGTCACCATGATGGAGAACAATAATCTTCTCCTCTACAAATTACTTTGCAAAGACAAGGTGGGTGTCTACAGGAGGGGGGCGGGGTCAAGATTGTAAAGGAAAGCTGCCAACGGGTTGGGAGGACATATGTTTTTTTGAAAGTCGGTTTAAACGGTCGGCTTTATGCGTGAGTGTGTACCCCCGTGAAGTGTTAGCGAGTGAAGTTATTTTTGCGGAGGCACTATCTGCCTCACACATATCATGTGTCTTATTCGGACATTGTTTTGGGAGTGTTTACAAGCCGCTCGTCACTTCCCTGTGAAGGTTAGTTTAATGAATAGTAATGATCTTACTGAATGCCTCAGACAGGTGATACATAATGACTCTTCCTTTTCGTCCCCCAAAACACACACACACACACACACACACACACACACACACACACACACACACACACACACACACACACACACACACACAGTGTCCCATCTTCTCAATTTGCCACCTGCCTCAAGAATGTGCATCTTCTTCCCTCTTCTTGTCACTAAAATCACCATTTCAGATTAGTGTTCATTATATCGTCACTGTTACATTTATTTTGTTTTCAAACGGAGGTGTGGTCAGGGACGTGCCGGGAAAAAAAATTGATCTAAAAGTACAGTGGGTGTAAAAAGCCTGGTATAAGAAAATGACACCAAATCAAATCTTTTCAAAACTTTTCCCGCCATTTATGTAACTTATTACCTGTACAACTCACTTGAAGGAAAAAAAAAATCTTTTGGAGAGGGGCAAACAAAAATAAACGTCAAGAGTGTAAAATAAGAGTCAGCGTGCACTTGCCACCATTTAAAGTGCCTCAACTACAATTTTAGTTTTAATACATCAAACATATCATCATTTATTTAACCAAATGATGTGAATACAATGCGACCATGCGTGAATATTCAACATTTCCGAGCCGAGTGATGGATTACACTGTGCGGCATGCGTGAACACGTTCACATTAGAGAACACGACAGCCATTTTGACCTTGACCTCTGTTTAAATAGCTCAGGTTGACCCCTCACCTGTTTATGCAGAGTTTACGGGCCTTTTGCAGCTGCATGTTCATCCACTTTGGTCTCTTTTCCTCCAGAGCCTGCAGCACCTTGTGCACGGTGGGTTTGGGCACACCCTGTCGTATTCACGGAACACACAATGTACTCATGGCTCAATTTCAACCGAGGCCAGGTTTAACAAAACAATAAACTCGTCCAAAAGGAAGAAGCCATGAGTTCTCCCTTATCACAGACACGACTACTTTCTCTTTAGGACTCAACAAGCTCTGAACAACTGCAACGAAGTGACGATATATTACGACTCATTATGACTTTTATTCTATTACTCACACCTTTACCTTCTGTTGAATCCCCATTGACGCCTGCAGACACTCGGCCAACAGGGCCAGCCGATCCTTGGCCTGACAGTTCAGGGCTAGCCCGCTGATTCCTTCAAGTGCGCGCGGCTCTCCGAGACTGCGGATCAGGCAGTTAAACAGGCACCACAGCAACAGGCCCATTGAGCGCAGTTGCCGGGCATGCTGAGAGAGGTGTTGCTCTGCCGCTTGGAAGAGGTAGCGGATGGGGAGGGGCAAGGACGCTACAACCAGTGGCAGGTTGGTGAAAATGAAGGACATGGCTTGAATGGCCAGGGATGTGACAGCTGCAGGAAAAGATTTATAAGCATGATGTTCATTATAAATGAATGGTACTTATAAATGCAGAAAGCTAGCAGTGAAACCAGCGCCATTTTATTTGCTTACTCTTAGACGAAGAGTCTCCCTTCCCAGTCTCCCGTCCTCGTGCTTCTACTTGTCTGTAGTTCCAGCTTTTGGGCACCTTAGCCAAGACACTTTCTGGAACAACTCTGACCGACGAAGCTGCGCCGGGCTCCTCATTGGCCTGCCAGTATGTCACCATGGTAACCAAGTGAGTCAGAAGGGTGTCGGTAGACTTGGTGACTATTACCCTGATACAGTCCACCACGACGGGCACTTCCTGCATCGTTTCTGGCAAAAGAAGAAAATGACTTGCATTGAAGTTCATTGAAAGACACAAAACACACGGGATGGACTTTCTCATTGGCCAGTTGAGTTGCTCGCCAAGGAATGAACTTTTGGCTGGATTTGGGAGGATTGCAGTTGCTTGTTTACTTTCAAAAAAGAAACCTGATACCCCTCAGCAAGGTGCGACTGGGGCAGTAAGAAAAGCGAAATGGAGCTGCAGATTTTGAAAATTGACGACCACACAACTTCGACTACTAAAACACCAGCTTTTTTTTTGTTTGTTTTTGTTCCCTCTGTTCAAGTCTTGCACCCCCTCCAGATTTTGAGGCCAGGGGTGATTTCCCCTTTGGAATAACGCTATACCGGCATTACGACAAGTATTGCGGTTCCATTGGGACAGTCCACTTTCTTATCGTGTCACAACTTTACTTTTGACATAAATGTCAAACATAGGGATTAGATTGCTGATATATTCAGCTAAAATGTCTGTAATAAAGCAAGTAATAACCGGTCACATTCAGATGTTTTCAATCAATTTCAGTGGCCCGACGGTGAAAGTCTTAGTACCCTCTCAAGGTGCTGTACAGTACATCTTCCATTGCTCTGCCCTTTCATATCCGGCTCATATTGATAGCTGCGAAGCAACCGCATGAAGTTGTATGGCAGCCATAAATTTCCCGTAGCAGCCGCTGGAGAAGCAAAGGCTACGGGACAGATAAAGTATGCTGGCAGTATTGGAAGAGCTGTGAAATCTTATGGGACATCTAACAAATGTGCGACCTCAGACCCACAGAAAAAGACTGGAGCGGAACACAAAATGATATAGCTGTTTGACGAAGCACTGCGCCGAGGCAGGTGAGACCGAGACCTATTTTTCAAAGTCACTTGGTGTTCACACTTTGCACCCTCTTGCGATCGCATCGACTCGTGTATTGATTTGAAAGAGCTTGCTACTACCGTGTGTGATCTAAGCGGAGAAGGAGTCAAACTTCTGTCTGTAATCTATGAACGTTCCCTCGGTGAATAGCTGGTATCCCAAAAGGATCAGTCGAGCTCTCTTGTAACCAAAAAGTGCATCGCAAAGATTTGGCACAATCCCACAATTAAACTAATTAGCCTGTGGGAATAAATGATGGTTGAATGACAGTGAGCAAATCTCGCAATCTGGATGGAATTTAGACCCTCCGTGAGTTCCTCCCTTGCTCTGCCTGAATTGGCTACCACTCAACTAGATGGCTACGATCGAAATCATCAAAATGTGCGGCAAAAAAAGAAACAAAATGTTTTGGTTTCGGCACAAGCATATTAAATGTCATCTCGGCAATCGCAAAATATCCAAATATTCTTAGCGGGGAGCAAATCTTAAAGCGTTTGACGTTGCCAACAGTGACTATTTTTAATCAGGTTACAGAGTAAAGTGCAGCTTTGACGGACAGCGCAGAACTAGTTTCGAAGCCTTTAGAAATGACTTGTAGAACCATTCACGGGGCGACAATAAAGAAGGGACCTTGTGGAGGAAAGGCATTCATTTTATTCAATGGCTGGAGGCTACTTTACCTGGCAGAGTGTAGAGATGTTCCCATACGTGCAGACTCTCCAGGTATGGTTGAAGGACCTGAGTTAAGGCCTTGGGGCTGACATTTAGGCAGGTACAAATGTTGAAAAGTGCCACGAGGAAGCCATCTCCCGCTCTGCGTTCCTGTGGAGATATTTCTAGCTGGTTCTCAAGGCAAAAATCTGTAAGGAGCAGGAAAAAAAAAGAAAAAAAGGTCAATTAAATAAGTTACATTTTGATCATGAACAACTCAGAAATTCATAAGGAGGGATTCTGTAAAGCATTGAAAAAATAAACTGAGTGTTGGACTAACATGAAAATACTCAATAAATGTAAAATGTAAAAATGAATTGAAAGACAATCGTACTTATACAAGGAAAAATGGTTGCAGGTATAATGAGGGACAGTTTTTTTTTAATAGGAATATAGTTATAATAAATCAAGAGAGGTCATACTTTTTAAGCCTCACATGCAACATAAAATTCACATGAAACATTTTTTAAAACTGATTGTATGATTTTTAACCGATAAAGAAAATATAACATGACTGTTGTTTAATTTTGTCTTTTTGATTTGAAAGAGGAATGAATTGTTGTTTTTCACCATAATTGAAGCCTCAAATCAAACTTTTAAGATTTTTTTTTTTTTATTTTAAATCCAAAAAGAATAAAATAGCAAGGCAAACCTCATACACAATTCAACATTACATAGCTGATTAGTGAAATTGACAACACTGAAGCAAGTATAAAATTCCCATACCCATAGCACAGAGATAAAAAAAAGATACGGTATATATA